CCCATTTGGTCCTCCTGGCCAAAAGGCCTGGTGGACATTAGACACAAATGGTTTAATGTCAAAGGGAGGTATAATAGGACTCCCATGTCACAGTGTTTTTTTTTATAATACTACAGTTCCATGGCCTAGGACACTGAGGTTGGCAGGTAGTGAGAGATGAAATGAAGAAAATATTCTTTGTAAAGGAAGTCATCCCTTGATGAGGATGTCTGGTAAGTATAGACTCAGACAAAGGACCAGCATTTATCTCAAAGGTTACACAACAGGTAACCAAACTGATGAGCATTGACTGCAAGTTTTACATACCCTACTCCCCACAGAGTTTTGCTGAGGTAACATGGGCAAATAGGACCCTGAAGGAAAAATTAAGGAAGACAGCAGGTGGGACATTTAAGGGATGAGAGGTGTATGTGCCAGCTGTTCTGGCTGAGATGAGGATGACACCTAATAAAGTCACTAAACGTTCCTCTTTTGAAATTCTTATGGGCAGGCCATTCCCCTTCCCCTGGATAAGAGGCCCTTTGGTAGTTATGCCAGGTGATTTAGAATTAATCCAGGAGAGATATGTTCAAGAATTGAATAGGGTGTTGAATGGTGTATACGGTGATGTATCTCTCTCTCGTTTCCTCTTCCCACAGATGATCCAACCCACCCATACAAGCCAGGAGATTGGGTGGTGGTTAAGGAACTTCATAGACAAAAGACCATAGATCCACTGTATGGGGAACCCACCATAGTGAGGGCTGTGATGAGAACCGCTGCTCTGACTTCTAATTCCAATGTCTGGATACATACATTTAGAGTAAAGATAATCCCGAAACCACCAAAGAACCAGGAGCAGCAGATGAAACAAGGAAAGGAGACACACCTATCAATTCATTCCAATTTTCAGGATGCTTCTTCATCCAGAGATGGCCTGTAAGAACTTTTTTTGATTGGTTGTCTCTCAATGATAACTTTTTCAGTGACTTACTGGATAGCCAGTGCTACTATCACATGGGAACCTTCTTATCTGTCATAGCCTTCCCCCCATCTTTCCCCATTCCACCCACCAATAAGTACTGACTCCTGTCTGATCTGTCTACCCCGTTATAATCTAATTCTCCCTCCCCCCTCGATCCTAGTTTAAATACTCCTCCAGCCTTCCCATAAACCTCTCCCCTAGCACAGCAGACCCCCTTCCATTTAGGTGCAGACCATCCCTAGCATATAGGTTGCATCCCAATGAAAATTCAGCCTAGTGCTCTAGAAACCCAAATCATTCCCTCTTACACCAGGTCTTCAGCCTTGCATTGAGTTCTCTAATCATCATCCTGTCTTTCCTGAGTTGCGCATGGCACAGGTAATACTTCAGAGAATATCACCTTGGAGGTCATTCCCTTCAACTTGCAGCCTAGTTCTTTAAATTGATTCTTAAGGAGCTTCCACCTTCCATGTAAAAGGGATAACAGGTGCATGGTGTGGCAGTCCATGTATGTTTGATGAGTTCCAAATGGGCAGGGGTAAGGATAGTCCAGTAGGCACTAAGGGCAAGCTGCGTAGGAGTTAAGCAGAACTCTGCAGAAGGGAAAACAAAGAAACACAGCACCTCTAAATGTGTACTGTGAAGGTGTGTACTGTGAAGTCACCCTCTTACCCATGAGCCTATTTTTAAATTCTAAGATGTGAGTTACTACTTATCTTTCTATTAAATACCTTCACAGTACACACTTAGAGGCGCTGTGTTTCTTTGTTTTCCACCTTCCATGTATGCTGTCATACAAAGATCAGGTGTCACAACAAAAACTACCTAAAAACATTTTTTGGAGTTGTAATAAATCAGATTTGGGTGGTGCTGCGATATTTAAACCACCCACTAAGATAAAAGGAAAAATAATCATATATACACATCCAAAATATATTAAGCTGGTATGGATGTCATTTATACTATCCATGACAGTTGTAATGTTCTGTAACACCACGTATACTTTAAAGGCATCTCACAAGAACAAAAATAAAAATGATTGGTGCCACATCATCCTTGAACTTTAATTAAAAAGAGGAACCTCTCCCAGCTGTACAGCATTTTTAGATTGTTTTGCTGACAGTGGCTAAGTGGTTAACACTTCCACCTAGAATCACTAGGATTGTTGGTTTGAATCCTAACCAAGGCACTGCTTGCCTGGAGTTTGCATGTTCTCCCTGTGCCTGCGTGGGTTTCCTCCAGATACTCTGGTTAATTCCCACACTCCAAAGACATGCTGGTAGGTAAACTAGCTACTGTCTAAATTGTCCCTGGTATATGTATAAATGTGAGTTAGGGGCCTTAGATTGTAAGCTCAATGGGAGCAGGGACTGATGTGAATGTATAATGTAAAGCACTGTGTAAATTGACAAAGCTATATTAGTATCTGTAATTAAAAAAAAAAAATAATAATAATAATAAATAAATTTTGCCTTGTAGTGTCCTTGTTACTTTCATTTGGCTGAGATAATAGCAAAAACATACTTATCTTTCTTTTGTAAATTACTAATCAGTTACCATTTACTGGAAAATATCAAAACGTAGACATGTTTGAAGTCCAGTCTGTGTGACAAACATGGCTTTTTCCATAGGTACATTGGAGGAGTGAACAAAGTAACAAATAGACAGGAAGCATGTTAATCATAGAATTAGCAGGTGAAAATAAGGAAAAATCATGAAAAAGTAATACAGTTACCACATCTAAGGACTGGTTACCCACAATATATGTATTTTTCATTTTGGGTTTTTCTTATTTTACAAATAAGATACATTTCATGTTGTGAACTTTTGACGAGTCAGAATAATGATTAAAATATTTTTGAGCCAGACCAGCAGAGATATGTCAACAGAAACTAAACTGAATTGCTAAATTGTGGCATCAGAACTAAAATCTGCCCCTGTGTATATTTTTGAGACTTGTTTGTTGGTAAGGTTTGTTTTTGCATGAAACTCTGCAGAGTGGTACAAGTTTATATATGTTAAAGATTGCAATTTCCTCTTATATTATTTGTAAAAGCTTGTTGCTGTAGTTTAGAAAATAATGATAAGCCCTGAGTAGTTATCCAGATTTCAGGCTCAACACTTCCTAGTGGCATGGTTAGGTGATCATAGGGTATAAAACACAGGGCATCTTATGCTATTCAGTTTATGTTCTTAGCAAAATATATTTTCTGAGCTATATTTTTATAGTATACCTAACATAAATATACAAAACACAAACCTGGAAATCTGTAAGGCAGCTTATAAAAAACAGAGCATAATAAATAAGCAACTTTAGCATTCCTAGCATAAATAAAAAATGTATTTTAATGTACTCATATAAAGTCATTACTGGCATACCCGAAGGGTTAGTTTTAAAAACTACTTGCATGCTAACACAAATAAAATATCTATGTAATATTTATATGAAAGGAAAAAACAACAAAGAAAAAATTTTTAAAAAATCAAATTTCTTAACAAATTTAGGCCAAAATCCTAACAATTCTATAATAATTGACTTACGTGAAAGTTATAGCATCTAAAAACTATGGGATATATACTTAGTATATTGTGTATCTTGATTTAATATATATACACTATATTGCCAAAAGTATTTGGACTCCTGCCTTTACACGCACAAACTAATTAATGGCATCTCAGTCTTAGTCCGTAGGGTTCATGTCACAGACCTGTGGTAGTGAACCCTTGTAGATAGTCAACTTGGGGTTCCCCAAGGCACGGAGTCTAAGTCCCAACCTGCTTCTTCACCAGAGCTCCTGATGGTGGGGATGGACTTGCAGCAAGCTGGGACTAGGTCGCGGCCCCCAGGTACACCCAGCTGAGGATGTGGAGGCCACTAGCGGGAGCAGAGTACAATGGGAGGAGACAAACGGAATCCGATACACTAGCCGAGGTCAGGACGGGCAGAAAACAAGCACAGTCAGTGAACAAAGCTAGGGTTGGTACACGAGTAGTCAAATGCAGGATACAGGATTTAGCAACACACAGAAACTCAGACAACTAAGAAGTTGCTCAGGCAAAGTGGCCTAGACTGAGCATGTCTTATATAGGCAGGAAAACAAGGAGACAGGCCAGGAAGTGATGGAAGGGAAGGAAATAAAACCAAGAGAACAGCAGGCGAAGCCCATAGGTGAGCACTGACAAAGCACACATGTGAAAGGATCAGAAACAGCACTGCAGCAAGGAGGTAAGAATACACAAACAAGGAACTGCAGGCTAACTTGTGACAATTCAATATTGAGTTGGCCCACTCTGAGTTGGCCCACCTTTTGCAGCTATAACAGCTTCAACTCTTTTGGGAAGGCTGTCCACAAGGTTTAGGAGTGTATATATGGGAACGTTTGACCATTCTTCCTGAAGCGAGGTCAGGCACTGATGTCAGACGAGAAGGCTTGGCTCGCAGTCTCCGCTCTAATTCATCCCAATGGTGTACTATCGGGTTGAGGTCAGGACTCTGTGCATGCCAGTTAGGTTCCTCCACCCCAAACTTGCTCATCCATGTTATGGACCTTGCTTTGCGCACTGGTGCACTGTCATTTTGGAACAGGAAGGGGCAATCCCAAAACTGTTCCCTCAAAGTTGGGAGCATGAAATTGTCCAAAATGTCTTGGTATGCTGATGCTTTAGGAGTGCCCTTCACTGGAACTAAGGGGCCAAGCCCAACCCCGGAAAAACAACCCTGAACCATAATCCCCCTCTCCACCAGACTTTTCACATGGCACAATGCAGTCAGGCAAGTACCGTTCTCCTGGCAACCCAGACACATCCATCGGATTGCCAGACAGAAAAGCGTGATTTGTGACTCCAGAAAACACATCTTCACTGCTCTAGAGTCCAGTAGTGGAGTGCTTTACACTACTGCATCCGACGCTTTGCATTGCACTTGGTGATGTAAGGCTTGGATGCAGCTGCTTGGCCATGAAAACCCATCCATGAAGCTCTCTACACACTATTGTTGTGCTAATCTAAAGGCCACACAAAGTTTGGAGGTCTTTAGCTACTGACTCTGCAGACAGTTGGCGACTTCTGCGCACAGCTTCAGGAAGCGCTGACCACACTCTGTCATTTTACATGGCCTACCATTTTGTGGCTGAGTTGCTGTGGTTCCCAGTTGCTTCTACTTTGTTATATTACCACTAACAGTTGACCATGGAATATTTAGTAGCAAGGAATTTCACGAATGGACTTAATGCACAGGTGGCAATCACGGCACCACGCTTGAATTCACTGAGCTCCTGAGAGCAACCCATTCTTTCAAAAATGTTTTGTAGAAGCAGTCTGCATGCCTAGGTGCTTGATTTTACACACCTGTGGCCATGGAGGTAATTGGAACACCTGAATCCAATGATTTGGAGGGTTAACCCAATACTTTTGGCAATATAGTGTATACAGTTGTGTTGAAAATAATAGCAGTCAGACATCACTAACCTGATCAATCACTGTTTTTGGTAGAAATGATATTTCTACATGGCAAATAATTTACTAGCAGGTGTAGTAGAGTAATAGAAATCCAACAGACCCAACAGTCATGACATGCATGCTGCTGATTCTGTGTAATTGAATCCCTTTCCTAGGATTGAGTGTGACTGCCACCGCCTCTGCTACTTCTCGGCCCTACTCACAGCGAGGCTGAAGATCCTCCACGCTTGCTGCTTTCTGGATCCCGTCCCCCTCTCAGTGCTGGGCAGCCACTGTGCTGGGAGGTGGCAGAGCCACTGGGGTCTCCCTGCAGGCTAATCCAGGAAGATTACCCACTTCCACTTGCCCTTCCATGGCAGGAGTGGGAGTGATGTCACCGCCTTGAGCCCCCCCATCCAATGCCACCTGCACCGGGCACTGACAATCACTATCTGCTTACAGAAATTCCACCCATTGCCATAGAGATTACCCCAAATATTCTGCCGACCAATCCTGTCACTGCACCCCCACCATCATCTCTAACATGGCTTCCCCTGCCAATCAAAAACTAGCTGATCAATGTCACTGATCCTAAGATCTCATCATCACCACCAAAATAATTTCTGAAAATCTCTGATTGTGATGCTGGAGGATGCAGGCTGTAGACGCCCACCCTTACCATCGCTCCAATCTATGATTTAAATCTACCAGGATCAGTTGATTTGGCATTATCTACATTCACAAAATTATCTGATTATTGAGAATGGTTACTGAATGTCATAGAATTGTCTGTGTTGCCTGGAATGATTGTGTTTGCTGTAGAGGGTTAGATGATTATTATTTATGTACTATATTATTAGTGATCTGCTATTAATAGCCATATAACATAATAAAAGATGATATGTGACACAAGGGGCTTATGTACACAGCTGTATAAAATTTACTCTGGATCACGCTGTCAGCATTAGGTGGTCTGCACTACGTCTGCACTCACATGGACGTAAAGGCACTTATGTCTGTATGAGCTGAGGTGTGTACATTCAGTGTTGCCACTGATAGTTATACATTTTTGGTGTTTACATCTCCACCTGAATGAGGGCACAGGATGACTCCTGGCCAGTTTGTTATTCATGTGCCCTGCCAATAAATGATTAATCTGCGATTGCATCCTCATTCTATCAGTGGGAGATGAAACATGCCGTGCTGCGCACAACCTCACTTCCTCCCAGCTCTTCCTGCACAGGTTGGACTTGCAACTTGGGAGGGGGGGGTTGCAAGTAGCTGTGGTTCAGAAAGTAAAAGTAGAATGTCTTCCTCAAATGACGATATTTTGCACGTATGTCCCAAGGCCTCAATCCCTTTAATGTTGTGGTTGGCTCTGATGCTTATCAATAATGGTTCTAGTGTTAGAACAAACAGGAACGTCAAAAGAGGGAATCCCAGCCTGGCACCAAAATGGAGATGGTATTCGATAGGTGGCCATTTACTCAGACTCTGGCTGTCGGGGTAAAGTGTGAGGATGTAATTGTGCATACTATGTCGTATGCTGATATGTTCCAAAACTGCTTGCATATAGTCTCAGCTCACTCTATCAAATGCCTTCTCTGCATCCAAAGACAGGAAGAACCCTCTACGCTTGTTCTTTGTCAACCAGTAATGCAAGTTTAAGGCTTTCAGAGTGTTGTCGCTGGCTATTCTCTCAGGGATAAAGCCAACTTGATCTTGTTTATAAGCGATGGCACGAGTGATGATAAGTGATTAATTAAGATTTTAGCAAAAATTGTCAAATCGACATTTAACAGTGAAATAGGCCTGTAATTGGTAACCTGGATGGGATTCTTTCATTCTTTAGGGATCACTTCAATCACCTCCCGCCCGCCATATAAAGTAATGACGGGCGCAAGGTGGTTCTCTCGTTCTGGGAGGATGTTATATGACGTCCTCCCACTCTAACCGCGTGGCTCAGGAGCATGCACTGTGGTGATCGGTGGTGCGCTGTGTCCCTTAGGCACAGTGGATCACTGATCAGCGAAAAGAGCCGAAGATGTTGGCTGGGTCATGTGATCAGCTGTGTCCAATCACTGCTGATCGCATGTAAATAAGGAAATGCTGGTTATCAGCATTTCTCTCCTCATGAGCTGTCACGCTGACAGCTCAAGAGGAGAGGAGAGCCAGTAATCTGCATTACTCGGATGGGGCATGTACACTGATCATCAGGGCACTGATGATTAGTGTACCCTGATGATCAGTGTAGCCCCGGCAGTGCCACCTGCCAGTGTCCATCAATGCCAGCTGTCAGTGCTCATCAATGCCACCTGCCCATCAGTGCCACAACATTGCCACATATCAGTGCCCATCTGAGCTGCCTTTCAGTGTCACCAATCAGTGCCAGTCATGCCATCTATCAATGCCAGTCAGTGCCACCTATCAGTGCCAGTCAGTGCCACCTATCAGTGCGCATCCGTGATGCCTATCAGTGCCCATAAGTGCTGTCTATCAGTGCCGCCTAACAGTGCCAGTCAGTGCCGCCTATCAGTGCTATATATGAGTGCTGCCTTTCAGTGCCCATCAGTGATGCCTATCAATGCCCATCAGTGACACCTACTAGTGCCTCCTCATCAGTGCCCATCAGTGCCACCTATCAGTGCCCATCAGTGCAACCTATCAGTGCCCATCACTGCAGCCTCATTAACGCACATCAGTGAAGGAGAAAAATAATTTATTTACAAAATTTTGTAACAAAAACAAGCAAAAAGTTTAGCAAAAAATAAAAAACCCAGAGGTGATTAAATACCACCAAAGGAAAGCTCTATCTGTCTCAAAAATGATAAAAAAATTCATAGAAGTACAATTGTCATTTAAAGTGCAACAGCGCTGAAAGCTAAAAACTGGCATGGGCAGGAAGGGGGTATAAGTGCCCTGTAGGCAAAATTTTGTAACAAAAACAAGCAAAAAGTTTAGCAAAAAATAAAAAACCCAGAGGTGATTAAATACCACCAAAGGAAAGCTCTATCTGTCTCAAAAATGATAAAAAAATTCATAGAAGTACAATTGTCATTTAAAGTGCAACAGCGCTGAAAGCTAAAAACTGGCATGGACAGGAAGGGGGTATAAGTGCCCTGTAGGCAAGTGGTTAATGGGTGTGTCTATAATAACATGAAGGCCATTTGGCTTGGAGGCCAGGGAGTTGAATGCAGTCAAGAACGGGTCAGTGAGAGTATCAGCAAAAGTTTTATAGTAAGATGCAGAAAGATGATCAGGGCCCAGACTTTTCCCAGCCTTAAGTTGTTTTAAAGATAAATTTAATTCTTCAACAGTGATCAGATGGTTCAAGTTCTGTGAGTCTTCTTTAGGTATAGGTATTGGACTATATTGTATTAGGAAGTCAGTGATGAGCTCCTATGTAGATGCTTGGTTGGTCCTAGAGGGAATGTGTGGTCTTATGTCATAGAGATTCGAATAATAGCGGATAAATTGAGTGTCTATATCTTCTATGGAAGCTAAGAGACAGCCTTTGGGAAATTTAATGTGGTGGACTGTAGTGGCAGCTTTTTTACATTGGAGGGCTCTCGCTGGCATCTTACCACTTTTGTTCCCTTGTTTGTAGAACATTTTTCTAGTGAGGGTATATTTATATTGTACAGTCTTTTCTAGTTCAGTTAGGAGTTCCTTTCTAGTGGAATTTAAGTCTAGAAGAGTTTGCACAGCTCATGATTTTTTGCAGGCTGCTTCCAAAACACGGATACGTGCTGTTAGAGCCTCTAAATGAGTCTGTCTTTTCTTCCATCTTTGTGAGGCTAGAGCATTTAACTCCCCACTAATCACACTTCTGTGAAACAGTGAGGTTCAGGTAGAGAAGAAGGGAGGGATGAGAAGGATAATAGTAGGGATTTGGCAGGGGAGATGAGGGTGGGAATGGGACAAACGTTGGGATGGGGGTATTCCGGAGACAGGTATAAAGGAGATTCAAAGGGATTCCAGAGAGAGTAAGTGGTGAAGTATAGTAGAGATTACAATAATGTTATGGTGTCTGCTGCAAGTTGGTGTGGTCTGTATATAGGGATGTGGGGTGGCTGTGACAGCAAGAGGGACAATAAAAGGTGGGAGGGAGACCCCATCATTGCTCCTTAATTCGGTCAGGGTTTGGGGAAAATGGGGTTAAAAATGTGTGTACACACATGAAAATAATGATTTTATCTCTAAATATAATAAAGTGCAGCGCTTAATAAATAAATCAATAAATCGGTAACTGGATGTGAGTTAATGCGATCAATAAGTAAAGTTCAGCAAATGGCACATGTGATGATCTCCTATGAGGCACATATCTCAATAAACTTGTGACTGGAATCAATGGAAGAAATGCGCACTCACCGAAAGCGCATGGATAATGCACATATAGGTATATAACCACCAGGTAATGATCTGTGATGGATGGTGAGCTTCCTTCTAGGTAATGGTCATCAAGCTTGGGTTAATATGAGAATCTGCTGGGTCCAGAGGTCCCCTTAAGGATAGACGGGCGCTCAGCCTGGATACAGGGCTCCCTCCTCTGGATGCTGGATGTCAAAGGAACTCTCTGTGGGTTTAATAGCTCCAAATAGGAGCCAAAAAATAAGTGCCAATAGTGTAGTATTTTCTCAACAAAGATGATTTATTAAGGAAAGATAAAATTCAGGGTAGCATGCAGAGTGGAGCACAATAGGAGATGCTGACAGAGCGTGACGTCATTTTCCGCCGGAGCCACGAGGAAGCCTGGCGGCCATCTTTTAAAGGGTCAGTGCTGCAATAATTTTTAATGTGCAATTTCTATTCAGGGTAGCATGCAGAGTGGAGCACAATAGAAATTGCACATTAAAAATTATTGCAGCACTGACCCTTTAAAAGATGTCAGTTTTTTTATAGTAGATTGTATACATAGTACAGATCCACCACTTCACAGAGAGGTTACGAGCATTCTCACGCATGTTATTTAAATTTAGCATTTTTAATGTTGACCCTAAAGAATTATTACAGTCTCTGATCCCCACTAAACAGAATATTTAATTTATTTTTTGCCTTTGTACATGTTCCACAGGACAGCGCCCTGCCCCCATGCCAAGTGTTTGACAATACCTTGCCTGTTAGCTTAGAAAATAGCTTTTTCTCCTATTTAACATTCAGCTATCATTGATTTCAATGAGGTTTGGATTCTGCAAACCTGCACAGAACTAAACTAAGGTAAGTTCAGCTTATCTCTATTTTTCAACTGTTACTTATCCTTAAAAGAAGCAGCACTCAATGAAATTCTATTATGTCTGAAACTCCCTAGTAACTACTTTAAAGTAGTACTAAACCCAAAAATGTAATATATTGCAGCTTTCCAGCTTTGATGGCTGCATCAGTTGTGTTTTGTTTTTTATGTTTTTTTCCTCTGTTTTCACCTGATGATCTGACACATCCTGTATTAGAGAGACCTCCCACTCTGGATGAAGGAGCACAGGGGCATCTATGGACAGCAGCATTGTCAATCCCAGGGAAGGGAGTGAGTATTATATTTACATGCAGGTTTAGATACCCTAACAAATTGAGGCAAAACTCCAGCTAATACTGCAGTTACACACGCAGTTACAATAACAGTTATTTTCCTTTGGTATAAAGGTTTTACATAAATGAATAAAAGCTGACCACTGCAAGTACTCCTGTCAATGGTAAATGTTTTATCTCATCCCCCTGACTGATATATTTGGAGGAGAGTTGGCTGTTTTGAAAAACAGCACTTTCTGGCTGCATCTCTGGGTAAAAATAAGAGAAAGAAAGCCTAAAAAGAAAACTAATGCAGCCACCACATCTAATGTAGCACCCTCTTAGATGGGTGCTAGGATGTACATAGTTAGACTGATGTAGTACGCTCTTCTGCCTAACAGAGGAGTTAACAGGTAAATTAATCCTTGGCATTCTGCTTAACAGAGTGTTGCAATCTATTAGTTAGGACAGCTCATGATACTCTGGTGCTGTTTGAGTCTGCCTTGAGCTCTTCCTGCCTTCTGGAAGCCATGAGAACCTTCCAGAACATAAGTGGGAATTAGGCAAATTAACTGCATGAATATGGATACAGCTCTGGCCAATTACAGGGGAGGGTGGCTGGTATTTATATTCTGTGAGCACATGGGCTCATTGCAGGGAAAAGGCAGGCTTGCCTCCCCTGGCATTTGCCAGGAGTGGGGATAAGGGCCTTAAGTACCCCACACCAGGGGGCTATCTAAAATCTGGCATGTAGAGTTGCTTGGAAGTTGCAACCAGCTGTCCCTGGACCCTGGCTAAATGCTGCCCCTTATGGTGCCATAAGGGCAAGGGCCTCAGTGTTCTGAAGACATAAACAAAAGAAATGCAGCGCTCTTGAGAAAATTGAAATAAGTCCAATGAAAAAACAGGCTCCTTAATGGTAGAATTTTGAGCATAGGTAACCCTGGTTCTGACAGATATACGGCTTGGAAGAATGGAGGCATGTGGTGGAAGGTGATCCAGCAAGTCAGAGCAATATCTAGGTTGAAGATCTGGTCAAGGATGGAAGAGCTGAGTTGGGCTTGAGAAGTTCAGTTGTAATTAGAAGGCAACATCAGACTTTGGGGGTCTAATCAAGCCCTGAAAAGAGAACACTCTTTTGGGCTTGAGTACTGAGTTACTTAATTACCTGAAGCTAATCTTCTTAAGATCCCAATAAAAGCTTCTTCCAAAGGGATTTGTGCCAGTTCCTTTGGAGGCTCACCTAGATCGTTATTGCTCTGACTTGCTGGATCACCTTCCACCACATGAGGGGTAGGATCTCCATTCTTCCAAGCCGTATATCTGTCAGACTAAGGGATCCAGGATATATACACATATGCGCAAGGGAACACTGGCTAGTGTTCTGAGCGCTGCATTTCTTTTGTTTATGTATTTTGGGACTTTTATATTGTGTTTTCCTAGCTTACTATATACCATTATTTCCAGTGTTCTGAAGAGCTCTGTCTATTGGATCTATTTACTCTTTGCTACAAGGGACTTTGTTATAACCTGAAGTTACTGTTCACTGCAAATGAGAAAGTCTATTTACTCTTTGCTACAAGGGACTTTGTTTAACCTGAAGTTACTGTTACTGCAAAAGAAGTCTTTACTGTTTCATCTAAACTTCAACCAGAAGTTAGATAGTGTCCTCATTGTAATTAGTTCTCTTCTTGGAGTGTCCTACTAAATCCCCCATCCCTATCCAAGTTCTTCAATAAAATAACAAAACAAACATCCCCTAGACTGGTCATTGGAGACAATGAGTGAAAGAGTGTGTGCATCTGGCTATCGGAAATACTGTGCTCTTGGCTGTGGGTGAAGATTGGGGAAAGGCCTGGGCAAACTAGCAGCGGCTCCTATACACTAACAAATGGTAAGCTGATATATGATAAATGTCTGCTTTTGTGTTTAATACCACTTTAATACCACCACATTAAGCTCCATATCTTTGCCCAATAATAACTCATTTTTATTGGG